CCATACCGGCAAAGGATAAGAAGCCGGATTTTTTCGGGAAACCTACAGCCGTTGCCGCGACACCTGCAATGTTCCGGCCGAGTGACGACTACGAAAGCTGGGAGTTTCAAGTCTCGTTGCACCTTAGGAACATCGACCCTGAAAAAACGCGGGCCCAGCATCCTGAGTGCAGACGCTGCAAGAATTGTGACAAGCGCCGGGATAGGCGCTAGGACTCCTGCTTCGGATAGTACCCTACGCCGACTGTTTGCGCATTTAAAGCCCTTGCCGTCTGGAGGAAGCGGTTGTTACGGCGGAAACAACACGAGTTTTACTGTGCCTTACTGGAACTTATGGCAAAAGCCCACCCTGAATACTCGATCTCTGAAAGGGAAGGAGATAACAGAATCTGTTTTAGGGAATGTGTATCGCCCAGTATAAATACACCAAAAGGAATAACAAAAGTAAAAGTTCGACCAAATTAAATCAAATGAAGTGACCGTGAAAGTTAGCACCACAAAGGAAACTGACGTCAAATTTCTCGTAAAAAAATAGACAGCTGAAAAATCTGTGAGTGAATATATCCTTCGGGAAGCAATTCACAAACAATGTTCAATCGATAGCTCTCTGGTCTTACACGACGCGTGGTATGAAACATACTTGGGCAGATCTGTGATCAGTTGAAGTCCACTCAATATCAAATTTGTCACGCAGAGATGACACCTCCAGTATACGATACGGCATGTTAATATCACCAACAAAACTGATGGAGTATGGTTTGAGCGATTCACAAGGCGCGAAAGGGTCAAATTCGCGTTGTGTACGGGATTCTACAAATGGAGTGAGAGATTTTAAAACCGGAAAACAAAGCACATTTACCCCCTGGTGTGTAGCGCGGGTTTAGTACACTCGGCAGTGTAAACGTGACCCGCGAATTGCTTTTCTCATCCACCAGATTTTCCGCCTCCAGAGAACTCACGTATTTCAGTATAATGGTAACAGTAGAACGCGCCGGGATATTGCCCAGACGCATCTGGAACTTATCCCCGCAGCCCTCATCTTGTTCCGCCATGAACACCGCGTGGCCAGATTCTACCGCATCGTCATATGTGGTTTTGGCCTATGCATTGCGAAAATAATAAAACACGTCATTAGAAACGATAAAAACAAGTGAGGTACGTTACTAAAACCCAACGGAATAATTGATAAATGAACAAAATTTTTATTGTGCCCACTAATGTCTATCATACCAACTCAAAAAAATATCGAACAGACAACAGACAGACGTTTTGCTTAAATGATCAGATGTGCTTCAAGATGCATCGCCTGTAATTAAAAACAAACTAAGCAAACAGCCTTTTTATTGGAGTGACCTGAAGAAACCCACTCCGAAAAATGCATCAGAATATGTATAAAAAGCGTTCCTTCGCGCAAAAAATCTTGGAAGAACTGAAGGTAGTTTACGCACGCGGTCTCATTTTAACAAGCAATGTTCGTTTTCTGTTGGGAAAAGTCGATGAGGTGGTAGAAAAAGGAGTACAAAAACCTGGGAATTATTATGCTTCGGGAATCGTGGCTACATGAAGAAATCCCTAGTGAAATTTTACAGGTGGATGGATATAACTTGTATCGGGTTGACCGCCCCGCGAGTGTCCGTAAACGAGGTGGAGGTGTTGCAAGTTACGTAAGCGAAAACTGGAGTAAATCAACTGCTGTCATTTACGAATACTCAACGGTTAAAATCAGTTGTCATGTCATCGAATTTAAGCCCCGTTTTTTGAGTGGGTTTCATTCCATCCTTCTTGGAAACTTTTACCCATCACCCACAATATCAGTTGCTGACATAAATAGCTTTTCGAACACTTTTTCTACCTCCATAATATCAAAAACAAGAGACTCTTTGTGTATATTTGTTGGTGATTTCAACAGACATGATGTAACATTCCGCACCACACTGGGTTTACAAAATTTAGTACTTTTTCCTACCAGACTGAATTCACAGCTTGATTTCGTTTTCACAAACAGATCACAATTTTTTAAAGTCCAGAAACGCGCTCCCCTGAGCACTTCAGACCATTGAATCTTGAAACTTTGTCCCACTGTATACAGCAAAACCAACCGATACACATTTTTAAGAAGCCATTACAAGACAGTGAGTCAAAGAAACTGTTCATCAGAGAACCTAGAAAAGCTAAGATCCACGATTGCCGCTACTGATTTTTCGGTGTTTCCCGATCAAAACCCTTCTGTCCTCTGTGAACA